GAGTAACTCGGGGTTGGGAGAGGCACAACGCAGGGAATGGCAGCGTGCTGCCTGCTCTTCCTCCTGGCTCCTTCCTACACCTGCCGGCTCTGCTCTCAGTGACCCCAGGGCTTCAGTGATGCAGGGAGCGGGGACAGAGGGGGCGAGGGGTCCTGGTGCGGGGGCTTGGCTTGGCTTTGGGGGAGGAAAACACAGATTTGGCTTTGGGGTCTGTTCAGAGGAGGTTTTGAAAGTGAAACAAGGAACAGGGCATCTTCCTAGGGACTGCCAGCAAGCCCCTCCGCCCCCGGGGCGCTGCAGGGACGCTTCCCCTTGGCAGCAGTTGCTCTGAAAGTGTCTGTGGGTCTCTACTGACCGTCTTGATTCATTTTACCCCGACGCAGCTGCTGGCCTTTCTGCAGGGGCTTTTCACCTTCTACCACCACGGCTACGAGCTCGCAAAGGACTTCAGCGATTTCAAGACAGAGCTGACAATCAGCATCCAGAACGTAAGTGTGCCACGTGCCCATGCCACTGTGCCATGTGCCCATCGCCGTGACTGTCCTGCAGAGCAAAATAACTCTTTGTGATATATTTTAATAAAGGTTTTATTCTCCTTTTTTTGTGTACCATCAAGCAAAGGCTTTGACTGTGTCATTGAAAGCAAGTCCTTTTTTGTAAATAACACTAGATTGTATACACAGCCTACATGGCAGTTCATTCCCTACGGCATACCAAACGCAGAGGTCCAGCTTTCCCAGGAGTCAGCCAGCGGGCAGACGTTGTTGCGCGCCCTGTGATTTTAGTGAGTGTTTCAAACCGTTTTGCAAGTGTTTCAAAGCACTGTTCGTTCTGGGAAGCGCAGCGCTCTTTGCCATCCCAATCTCTGGGCTGTGGAGTGGAGCCCTTCTGCCGGCTGCGGCCGTGGCCAGTGCGCGGTTGGTGCCCGCACGTCGGATGTGTGTGAGGGCTTTGGCATGCTGGCGTTGCAGCTTTGCTTTCCTCTCTTGTTATAAAATTACCCTTTTTCTCCCAGAGATGCAGACTGGTTTCATTCTTTTGAAACAATTTTTCACAAAACTCATAATACAAACAACTTGCCCATTGTCGTAATATTTTTCTTTTAGCTTAAATCCAGGCCCAGGAGGAAAACCTGCCCTGTGGCTGACAGTGGGCTCCCCTGGTCCCATTTCCCACACGGGCTGTAGTGACCCAGCTCTGGGGTCCCACCCCTGCGTGGTGCCTCCTTGCTGCAGAGGAGGCCACTTTTTTAATTTGCAGACAAGAAATCGTTTTGAAGGAACAAGGTCAGAGGTTGAATCTTTGATGAAGAAGATGAAGGAGAATCCTCACGAGCACAAAAACATCAGCCCTTACACGATGGAGGGTTATCTCTACGTGCAGGAGAAACGTATGTGTTGGGGCAGCAGAGCTGCCTGCCAGGGCAGTGCAGCAAGTGGGCGCCTGGGGAAGGTGGTTTATCAGGATGTGGGGCATGAAGGCTAATTCAGCAGGCTACAAAATCCGTGAAAGAGAGGGATTGGCCCAATGGGTGGGATATTAAGGTGGGAATGTGGGAGCCAGGTTCTCACTGGGAGGGAGAATCACTGCCAGTGCCTGATAGAAGTCTTTCCCCTGAACAGAAGTGGGGTAATAATGCTTAATCCACTTGCGAAGTCCAACAAGAACCGTAGGTACAGAAATCTGTCATGTTAAATGATTGTTAAACGTAACAGGTTATTAATGGGAGGGCACTGCAACTCTACTAGTTCTGGAAATAAAAACTGCATTTGCTTTGTAGGTCACTTTGGGACTTCCTGGGTGAAGCATTACTGCACGTACCAGAGGGAATCAAAGCGGATCACGATGGTGCCGTTTGACCAGAAATCTGGAGGAAAAGGGGTGAGTGCCGATAGGCAGCAGGACTGCGTCCTGGGGGTCTCTGCCGGGGAGCACTGCGGAGCTGCTGGCTGCACGCTCTCCCGATGCTCAAACTGAACCATTTTTAGCAAGGTGACACAAATGCAAGTGAAGTGGGTCAGATTCATTCCAGGCTGAGCGGGTGCCACATGGGGAATTAACTCTGCACCTTGTTTAAAAAAACAAGGCAAGAAAACCCCCAAAGCCCACAGATCTTTGGAAACTGTCAGCTGTGCTGAGAGCAGAGCTGGTTTCCCAAGTGGGTAGAGCCCCTTGGACACTGCTCTGTTTCATGCTTCAGCTCCATCATCCAGGCCGGTGTCTGCACACAGCTATTTGTAAGGACAAGTTTGCAGCAGCTGCATCTGGGCTGAGACTGGGTCTTTTGCCTCTTGCTTTTAGGTCTGTCCTTTATTTACTTATTTCCGTTTGTAAAAGGGGGGACCTTTAAAAGCTGAAGCATGTGCAGTTTCATCTTCGGTTCCACTCCTGCTGTTCCTGGTGATGCTGGGCACACGGTGGGTCATGCATCTGCACTGTGCCCTGCGGGGCTGTGGCTGTTTCCATGGGTGGAGGTGGTGGTTGGGGCTGGGAGCGGAGTAGGGTCGTGCCACATGCACCCACCATGCTCTAGCTCCATGGGCACCTGCTCCCCAGTCCCTAGTTCCTGCTCCAAGGCCCAGAGAAGAGAACCCTTTCATTATTTTCCTCCTTCCCCAATGCCTATGACTTGGCCAGTGAAGTTGTTTTGTTTTAGACAGAGCCACAGGAGAGCCTGGAGCTCCCCTTGGCCCCGAGGGGGTGTGGAGGAGCAGGGGGAGCCATGGGTGTGGGGGGTGGGGGGCCAGCGCACGCCATGTGCCCCACTGTTCCCGGGGCAGCGTAAGTCCAGCTGTAGCCGGGACTGGCTTTCCTTCTC